CGTGGTAGATGTCAAATATGGCAGACATCAGAGCCAGGCCGTGGTAGATGTCAAATATGGCAGACATCAGAGCCAGGCAGTGGTAGATGTCAAATATGGCAGACATCAGAGCCAGGCAGTGGTAGATGTCAAATATGGCAGACATCAGAGCCAGGCAGTGGTAGATGTCAAATATGGCAGACATCAGAACCAGGCCGTGGCAGATGTCAAATATGGCAGACATCAGAGCCAGGCAGTGGTAGATGCCAAATATGGCAGATGTCAAATATGGCAGACATCAGAGCCAGGCCGTGGTAGATGTCAAATATGGCAGACATCAGAGCCAGGCAGTGGTAGATGTCAAATATGGCAGACATCAGAGCCAGGTCGTGGTAGATGTCAAATATGGCAGACATCAGAGCCAGGCAGTGGTAGATGTCAAATATGGCAGACATCAGAGCCAGGCAGTGGTAGATGTCAAATATGGCAGACATCAGAGCCAGGCCGTGGTAGATGTCAAATATGGCAGACTTCAGAGCCAGGCAGTGGTAGATGTCAAATATGGCAGACACCAGAGCCAGGCCGTGGTAGATGTCAAATATGGCAGACATCAGAACCAGGCCATGGTAGATGTCAAATATGGCAGACATCAGAGCCAGGCCGTGGTAGATGTCAAATATGGCAGACATCAGAGCCAGGCAGTGGTAGATGCCAAATATGGCAGACATCAGAGCCAGGCCATGGTAGATGTCAAATATGGCAGATGTCAAATATGGCAGACATCAGAGCCAGGCCGTGGTAGATGTCAAATATGGCAGACATCAGAGCCAGTCCATGGTAGATGTCAAATATGGCAGACATCAGAGCCAGTCCATGGTAGATGTCAAATATGGCAGACATCATAGCCAGTCCATGGTAGATTCAAATATGGCAGATGTCAAATATGGCAGGCATCAAAGCCAGTCCATGGTAAATGTCAAATATGGCAGATGTTAAACATGGCAGACATCAGAGCCAGGCAGTGGTAGATGTCAAATATGGCAGACATCAGAGCCAGGCAGTGGTAGATGTCAAATATGGCAGACATCAGAGCCAGGCCGTGGCAGATGTCAAATATGGCAGACATCAGAGCCAGGCAATGGTAGATGCGAAATATGGCAGATGTCAAATATGGCAGACATCAGAGCCAGGCCGTGGTAGATGTCAAATATGGCAGAAATCAGAGCCAGGCAGTGGTAGATGTCAAATATGGCATACATCAGAGCCAGGCCGTGGTAGATGTCAAATATGGCAGACATCAGAGCCAGGCAGTGGTAGATGTCAAATATGGCAGACATCAGAGTCAGGCAGTGGTAGATGTCAAATATGGCAGACATCAGAGCCAGGCAGTGGTAGATGTCAAATATGGCAGACATCAGAGCCAGGCCGTGGTAGATGTCAAATATGGCAGACATCAGAGCCAGGCAGTGGTAGATGTCAAATATGGCAGACACCAGACCCAGGTCGTGGTAGATGTCAAATATGGCAGACATCAGAACCAGGCCATGGTAGATGTCAAATATGGCAGACCACAGAGCCAGGCCGTGGTAGATGTCAAATATGGCAGACATCAGAGCCAGGCAGTGGCAGATGCCAAATATGGCAGACATCAGAGCCAGGCCATGGTAGATGTCAAATATGGCAGATGTCAAATATGGCAGACATCAGAGCCAGTCCATGGTAGATGTCAAATATGGCAGACATCAGAGCCAGTCCATGGTAGATGTCAAATATGGCAGACATCAGAGCCAGTCCATGGTAGATGTCAAATATGGCAGACATCATAGCCAGTCCATGGTAGATTCAAATATGGCAGATGTCAAATCTGGCAGGCATCAGAGCCAGTCCATGGTAAATGTCAAATATGGCAGATGTCAAATATGGCAGACATCAGAGCCAGGCAGTGGTATATGTCAAATATGGCAGATATCAGATTTACATTAAATGTCAAAAACGGGAAGCCTGAATGGAGGGCAACATTTTATTAATGAGTCATGACCTCTGTTTTCCTATCTCTTCAACAGTTTGTCTGTTGACTGGACAATACTGCCATATAACCAGGTGACTGTAGTTTATATGTTGACTGGACAATACTGCCATATAACCAGGTGACTGCAGTTTATTTGTTTACTGGACAATAATGCCATATAACCAGGTGAATGCAGGTTATCTAAAGTCTGACTACAGTCTGACTGACCACTGCTAGGCCAGTCTGACCACTGCTAGGCCAGTCTGACCACTGCTAGGCCAGTCTGACCACTGTCGTCTGACCACTGCTAGGCCAGTCTGACCACTGCTAGGCCGTCTGACCACTGCTAGGCCAGTCTGACCACTGCTAGGCCAGTCTGACCACTGCTAGGCCAGTCTGACCACTGCTAGGCCAGTCTGACCATTGCTAGGCCAGTCTCCTGGTTCAGTTTAAAAAAAAAAAGAGGATTTAAAAATGGGAGGTAAGTATTTCAAGAGTCAACAAAATATACATAACAGCAAACTGAAAAAAAAAGTCACCAAACAGAGAGCACTAAACAAATCCCTACATAAGCATCATTAACTCCTCTCTGATGAACGAACATGTAAGTGCAATGACTTGCCCTGTGAGAGACTGGTCTTACAATAGTTCTCAATTAGTTACATTAATGGCTAAAGTAGTCATTTCTCATCTCTAGGTTTACTACCGGGCAGGGCTAGATAACTCACCAGAGAGGAACTAATGAAACTACAAATCATGCGATTACAAGAAGAAAAGGCTGACTAAAATAAAGCACTACATGCTGTATAAAAGAATGCAGCTGTGCAACAGTAGCAGTCCAGCCTGGTGACGGGCAGTGCTAAATGTCCAGTTCTGGTGGTGGCTAACACTTTATCTGACTGAGACCACACCTATGTCAGACGGCTGCTGGCTCACACATGTCTGCCACACTCAGCCAATACATAAACATTAGTCTCACTAACTAATGGCTGAACTCTTCTACTGCCACATCAATTGGCAGCAGATACTGAAGGGGAAACAACCAACAGTGCACTACTCTCAAAGAGGCTAACCGCACCGTGGAAATGGACACTGAGGATGCCAGGATTCTTTAGCATGCTCTGACCAAATCTAACAATAAAGAGAGCACATCAGGTGAGGGCTAGTGGCCAAGGAGAACAGTCAGTCGAACATCAAAGATGTTGACAGCCCTCACAAACATCACGTGTCAGAACTGATGCGTCCACATGTGTCAGCCAGAAGTGTGTCTCTAGCTTCAGATATAGCCAGTCTTTCTGGTGTGCTGGATGTCAAGCGTGAATGAGTTGGTGCTGAGTGCCTCCTTATGGAGGGTTTCTGGTACTATCAATGTCTTATATTTATTGGGGTAATGATGAAGTGAGGTTAAGTTACAGTCGAGGACTCACTTTATTATTCTATTCCATTTGGCTGAGTCTCTCTCCGTAGAACAGATAGCTGCTTGCCAAGATCATTAAACAAAGTACAAACTACACACCTCCAGAGACAATCTATGTAAAACTGCACTCAATGTGTCTCTGAAAGATCCAGTGACTTCATAGCTAACGGCTTGAATACTCGACAGAACTCCAGATCATGATAGATTCAACCAATCAGAAGCTGTTTCTGGTTTCTGGCCGATAAGGCTTGCCTCAGTATGTCTTGGACACTCAGGTAACACTGACAGTTGACAGAATGTCTGGAACACTCAGGTAACACTGACAGTTGACAGAATGTCTGGAACACTCAGGTAACACTGACAGTTGACAGAATGTCTGGAACACTCAGGTAACACTGACAGTTGACAGAATGTCTGGGACACTCAGGTAACACTGACAGTTGACAGAATGTCTGGAACACTCAGGTAACACTGACAGTTGACAGAATGTCTGGGACACTCAGGTAACACTGACAGTTAACAGAATGTCTTGGACACTCAGGTAACACTGACAGTTGACAGAATGTCGCTGCTTGATTCTAGTTAGAGGGAACCTTCAACAGTTCAGTTCTAATGCTGATGGGCTGCCCCTGTGTGTAGGTCTGATACATTTGTGAATGAAGATCAAGCAGCAGGCTCCTCAGATAGACATGCTATCTGGCATATTAATACATATCTATGTGGTAACATTTACACTGTCTAGTATGGGATGTTTCTTTAATGTGTCTATTATTGAACTGATGTCCAGATAGCAATAACTAGTGTGTATTCCTGAACTGATGTCTAGATACCAAAGACTAGTGCCTATGGTTGAACTGATGTCTAGATACCAAAGACTAGTGCGTATGGTTGAACTCATGTCTAGATACCAAAGACTAGTGCGTATGGTTGAACTGATGTCTAGATACCAAATACTAGTGCGTAGGGTTGAACTTATGTCTAGATACTAAAGACTAGTGCATATGGTTGAACTGATGTCTAGATACTAAAGACTAGTGCGTATGGTTGAACTGATGTCTAGATACCAAAGACTAGTGCGTATGGTTGAACTGATGTCTAGATACCAAATACTAGTGCGTATGGTTGAACTGATGTCTAGATACCAAATACTAGTGAGTATGGTTAAACTGATGTCTAGATACCAAAGACTAGTGAGTATGGTTGAACTGATGTCTAGATACCAAAGACTAGTGCGTATGGTTGAACTGATGTCTAGATACCAAAGACTAGTGCGTATGGTTGAACTGATGTCTAGATATCTATGACTAGTCCCAATGGGTGAAATGATGCTCACATATCAGTGATGTGCTCATGGTTGAGCTAAAGCTTGAGGTGCCTTCAAGGCCAAGCTAACATACATTTTGTTTCAATGTTTAATATGCCAGATAACCTTTATACATACTGTGTGCCAGAATGGCTGAGCTGAGAAGTCATGCTGAGTGTTAAATGCAGTTAGAAAATGAAAATAATAAATGTTAGGTTAGTGGATTAGTATGGTCAGGCTATGAACGATGGCCTGGCAAAGGGCTAAAAACTGCCGTCAGCAACCAAACAAACCTTGTTTTCATCTTCACAAATTTGTTTCCCACTGTCCATGTTGTCAAAGTATTCGGTTTCGCTCGACTCAGAGCCCTACAAACATCGGGAACAACAACAAGCTATCACAAAGCAGACTAGTATCTACAGCCAAAACACCACCACACAATAATAACTCAGCAAACAAACACCGGAATGCAATAAAAAAAATTCCTGGCCAGGTCTAATACATAGAGTCCACTCTTTGGTAGAGACTCTCAAAACATCATGGTTGTCTAACACTGGCATGCAAACATAGGGTAGCTAACTCTATGTTACAGCACATGTTCTCTACATAAATAAACAGAGGGGGGACATATATATATAGTACATATATATATATACACACACATATATATATATATATATTTTTTTTTAAATTCTCGCATGGCCTATAGAGCCAGTTTTAACATCATGGCTAATGAATAAACAAGCTGAACAATATCTTGAGGCCTTGGAGATGTGATTTTACAGAAAAATCCTTAGAATTCTTTGGACAGCTAAGAAGAGCAACCCAGATATTTTGAAAGAGGTGAGTGCTCAAAGACAACTTAACACAAACATTAGAAAAAGACAGTCATGGGGTCATGTTATGAGAAGAGGGAAAAGCGAACATGTTGTGACCACTGGAAAGATTTGTGGAAAGAGAGACAGAGAAAGACAGCGCAAGAAGATAATTGACAGCCTTTTGTCATGGCATGGAGGGGTGTCAGCACACGAACTGACACACGCAGTTGCAGACCGTAGATTGTGGAGAGTCATGATTGCCCACGACAGTAGCCCAGGCATTTGATGATAATAAAAAAATAAAAAAATACTGCAGAACTTCTGTGCATAAGTGAGGGAGCTTAAATCGTTTTTCATGAATCCCAAACATTACGCGATGTGTTCTATTACTTTTTACATTTCACCTTAGCATACTTAAAAATCTGGCATTCCTGCTTGCCTCTTTGAAAGTTTTGTACTTAGGATATGTGATGAGTGAGACAAGGCAATTCCAATAGCTGACAAGACTATTGCCACAGCTGACGAGAATATTGCCACAGCTGACAAGACTATTGTCACAGCTGACAAGACTATTGCCACAGCTGACAAGACTATTGCCACAGCTGACGAGACTATTCCCACAGCTGCCAAGGCTATTGCCACAGCTGACAAGACTATTGCCACAGCTGACAAGACTATTCCCACAGCTGCCAAGGCTATTGCCACAGCTGACAAGACTATTGCCACAGCTGACAAGGCTATTGCCACAGCTGACAAGACTATTGCCACAGCTGACAAGGATATTGCCACAGCTGACAAGACTATTGCCACAGCTGACAAGACTATTGCCACAGCTGACAAGACTATTGCCACAGCTGACAAGGATATTGTCACAGCTGACACGGCCATACAAGTCTTAAATACTAAATGATAGTGTGCACTAATACAAATAATAAAATCCGCAAAATTTCAGAAATATAGAGTTCTACGGGGTAAAAGTGACAGTGACACTAAGTATGATGCAAATGTGAATAAGCCCGCCCTGAGGCATGTTAGGGCGGGAACTAGTTGTTGGCGTGACGTAAGACTGCACAGACAGCAGCATGTTAGAGTGGAAACTAGTTGTTGGCATGATGTAACACAGCACAGACAGCAGACTGGTTGTTGGCAGGACGTAAGACTGCACAGACAGCAGACTGGTTGTTGGCATGACGTAAGACTGCACAGACAGCAGACTGGTTGTTGAGATCACACCTAGGTTGTTCAAGGTTTTCTCCACAGCCTGTCAACAGATTAGAGCCCAATGCCAAAACCCAGCTACAAAGTGAAGCGCCTATCATGTGACGCACAGTGTCAAACGATTCCGTGATGTTTCACCAAGCCTGTCACATTAGCCACACAGATCAACAGCCCTACCACCCAGGCAACCCCCCCCCCCCAAGTCTCCGGCCCCGATGTGTGCTAGATATAACAGCAAGGTACAGGTACCCCCCCCCCCCCCCCACCACCGACTGGAGCACATCACCCACAGGGACTCAATCTCAACGCCTCAGAGAGACGGGGTTAATCGTGCACTGGGGTCACGAGTCAGGGTAATCCAGGATTACCGCCGAGACCCAGGGGGGCCAACTCCTGCAACCACGTCACGTACTGCCGCTCCGTGTCACATCTGAATAACTGGCACGGGAAATTAATCAACTTTTATCCTTCTGTGTTCTGATCTGTGATTCATAGAACTGGCACGGCCTAAGAAATGCGACAATTGTACCCGCAACATTGATTCACAGAATTGGCACGTCTTAAGAAATGCCACAATTGTACCCGCAACACTTATTCATAGAACTGACACGTCCTATTAAACACCAGAAATGCGTACTAGCAATGAAGATCATTACATAAAACAAATATGTCCCACTGGGGAATCCGGCCTGAACGTCAGCGACTCAAAGGACCACCTTTTGGATATGATCTACGCATAGATCGTTCTAGTTTTATTTTTAAATCTAAGCCGTCTTGGATATTTAGTTCTCAACTGTCTACTGTACCCAAATATTTAATTCTCAACCGTCTACTGTACCCGATTATTTAGTTCTCAACCTTCTAACTGTACCCGATTATTTAGTTCTCAACTTTCTAGCTGTGTCCGATTTTTTAGTTCTCAGCCTTCTACTGTACCCAAACATTTAATTCTCAACCGTCTACTGTACTCGATTATTTAGTTCTCAACCTTCTAACTGCACCCGATTATTTAATTCTCAACCTTCTACTGCACCCGATTATTTAGTTCTCAACCTTCTAACTGTACCCGATTATTTAGTTCTCAACTGTCTACTGTACCCGCTTATTTAGTTCTCAACTGTCTACTGTACCCGATTATTTAGCTCTCAACCCTCTACTGTACTCGATTATTTAGTTCTCAACCCTCTACTGTACTCGATTATTTAGTTCTCAACCCTCTACTGTACTGGATTATTTAGTTCTCAACCCTCTACTGTACTGGATTATTTAGTTCTCAATCCTCTACTGTACCCGATTATTCAGATCTCAACCCTCTACTGTACCCGATTATTCAGTTCTCAACCCTCTACTGTACTGGATTATTTAGTTCTCAACCCTCTACTGTACCCGATTATTCAGATCTCAACCCTCTACTGTACTGGATTATTTAGTTCTCAACCCTCTACTGTACTGGATTATTTAGTTCTCAATCCTCTACTGTACTCGATTATTAAGTTCTCAACCCTCTACTGTACTGGATTATTTAGTTCCCAACCCTCTACTGTACTGGATTATTTAGTTCTCAACCCTCTACTGTACTGGATTATTTAGTTCTCAACCCTCTACTGTACTGGATTATTTAGTTCTCAACCCTCTACTGTACTGGATTATTTAGTTCTCAACCCTCTACTGTACTGGATTATTTAGTTCTCAACCCTCTAATGTACTGGATTATTTAGTTCTCAACCCTCTACTGTACTGGATTATTTAGTTCTCAACCCTCTACTCTACTCGATTATTTAGCTCTCAACCCTCTACTGTACTGGATTATTTAGTTCTCAACCCTCTACTGTACAGGGTTATTTAGTTCTCAACCTTCTAACTGTACCCGATTATTTAGTTCTCAACCTTCTAACTGTGCCCGATTTTTTAGTTCTCAACCTTCTAACTGTACCCGATTATTGTTCTCAACCCTCTACTGTACTGGATTATTTAGTTCTCAGCCCTCTACTGTACTCGATTATTTAGTTCTCAACCCTCTACTGTACCCGATTATTCAGTTCTCAACGCTCTACTGTACTGGATTATTTATTTCTCAACCCTCTACTGTACCCGATGATTTAGTTCTCAACTGTCTACTGTACTCGATTATTTAGTTCTCAGCCTTCTACTGTACCCGATTATTTAGTTCTCAACCGTCTAAATGTACCGGATTATTTAGTTCTCAACCTTCTACTGTGCCCGACTGTTTAGTTCTCAACCGTCTTCTATACTCAGATGTTTAGTTCTCAACCGTCTACTGTGCCCGATTATTTAGTTCTCAGCCGTCTAAATGTACCTGATTATTTAGTTCTCAACCGTCTACTGTGCCCAACTGTTTAGTTTTCAACCGTGTCCTATACTCAGATATTTATTTCTCAGCCGTCTACTAAATCCAAATATTTATTTCTCAGCCGTTTACTAAATCCAGATATTTAGTTCTCAACCGTCTACTGTACCCGTCGTTTTCCACCATCTAATGTATCCGTCTCTTTAAATCTCAACTGTCTACTGTACCCGTAGTTCTCCACCGTCTAATGTATCCGACTCTTTAGTTCTCAACTGTCTACTGTACCCGTCGTTCTCCACCGTCTAATGTATCCGACTCTTTAGTTCTCAGCCATATAATATATCTGAATATTTAGTATTTAACATACCCGGTGCTCAACCTGCTAAGAACATATGGCCCGGTCCTGCCAAAACAGAAGATCAATAAATCAAACCACTTGCTACAGCAGGTGGGTCGGCAACCGATTTCCTGTGGGGACAAAGGCCTGCAGAAAGTGATCAATGGGGACAACAGCTTGGTCAGGTGTCAACAACTTTCTCTCAACATTGACGGCCAGGTGTCAACAACTTTCTCTCAACATTGACGGCCAAGTGTGAACCAAGCAAGTGTCACCCCCAATCTTATAGAAACCTTGTATATTGATTGCTGGGCTAGCATGTGATCTAGACCAGGAATGTCAAACTGAGGGTGCCGCCAGAGCTTTAGGCCTGACACTTGTGTCGTCATAGGGCCACACACGACTGACTGAAATTATCTCCTAAATATTATTGTATTATATTTTTTTAATTAGGCCGCGTGTGCGCTTAAAAAGGGCCGCAGGCAGCCCACGAGCCGCAGATTTAAAGTGCCTGATGTAGATGACTAGTGTATTGTAGATGGTGAGCACTGTAGATTATAGGTGTGTTGTAGATTGTGAGCACTTTTAGATTATAGGTGTGTTGTAGATGGTGAGCACTGTAGATTACATGTGTGTTGTAGATGGTGAGCACTTTTAGTTTATAGATGTGTTTTAGAT